AATACTTTTCGAGATAATTAGTGTAACCACTTAAAAGAATCACTCTGTATATCGTGTTCAATTGTGTTCGTCAACGATGAACGCAGGTCATATAAGTTCTTTTGACCTGTAAAATGTTACTTAGAAAACTTTATTTGTATCGATTCGATAATCCGGTCCGTGTAGTAGAATATTGGTTAGCTAACCAACTACTCCTTAATTGGATAGGAATTGGTATAAATATCGACAGCCACGTGGATTATGTAGGTACTCTGTTGTAGGGTGTTATAAGATATTCATTGGTTATTCTTCGATTATTCACATTTATGTTCCTTATTATAGGTTCTACCTGTTTTAGAAATACTGGTTTCATATATCAGCAAAAATACATACCACAATATTGTTAAAGGTATATAGCTAATGTGTTTTAAAGGGGGTCTATTCAAAATGAAGGTACAAGATGAAAATAAAATAACACTATTGATGATTAGAAAGGGATCTTCATGAAACTAGTAAGCTATAATATTACAATACTTATACCATTAATAAGTTGTTTGACAATTATTAGCATCATCATCAACATTTTTTTTTCTGTTGATTCATCAATATGTTCTTGTTTAATGTATTTATTTAGTATTATATTATTCTATGATTATTTAAGTATCGAAAAGGCCATCACTTAACACAAAAATATCAATACAAGCCTATGCTAGCTGGGCCCTAGACAATAATTTTACCTTTACGTTTCGCAGTGAATCAATTCACTCTGATATCAAACCTAACAGCACTATAGGTACCAATGAAACTAGTGAACGAAAATTTGGTATGTCGTACGGAGGAAACATTTATGTCGGTTCGACGTCCTCATAAATCGTACCTAGTCTATATAATAATTTTCAATGCAAGACTATAGACAACAGTGTTCTTGTTCTTTTAGCGAAACTCTCACGCCACCTTGCTGGAGAAGTGATAACATTTTCGTAGGACATAGTTGGCATTTGTAAGTAATGCTGGATCATATGATGTTAAACTCACCATTTAATATTAATAATATATTATTGTTATAGCACCGCTGCTATGGACAAACTGCAGTTTTGGTATACCTATTTTATAAAGTATTATAGGCAATGTATGGTTAAACCAGGATGGTCCATCTCGCGGCCCTCCAAGCATTTTTTTTTTTGGCCCTCTTAAGAAGACACATATTAATGATATAATAATTGTAATGTAGTTACTGCAAGTCTTTAAAAAAAAAAAACTAAGCCCTTATAGATGATGGGAGATGGCGTGGTGGCAGTACTAATATATTATAAGTGTTCTATATAACGTGATAATTTTTATCGGTTGGAGATCGTTATATATAGTTATTTTATACACGTTATGCAAAAATAAATTATGATTATCAATACCATAATATTATGTTCATACAATGGCGGATCTTCGATATTTTTTTTTATTTTTTATTTTATTAATGATACCCTCGGCAACATGGGCCATTGGGTTTACAGTGAAAAATATATATAAAAAAGAAAAAATTACATGAATTGTATCTATATCTAAATTTCTTCGATATTTTGATATGTGATGTAGGTACATATAAATTGTATAATTTCAATTTTAATTAATTACTAACGGTTATAACTTATAATGAATATCAAATAAAACATTTTCGATAGAAAATTGACTGGGGGGTACGTGCCCTTGTTTCTATATGTCGCAAATATGTACCATAAGACGGCTCTAGTTATTATTTTTGTTTCGAAACGATTTTTCAATGTTCCATGTTACGTTTATTTGGCTGATGCAGAATTTTCCCGGTCGGAATCCGGTTTGATATTTAACTAGATTTTTTCTACAACTGAAGTTATTTAGTTCAAGATTATATTTTTTTGTAAACCTATAGTACCTAGGTATATATAAAAAAAAATGATTCAAAGTTGTGACTAAGGGGGATAACGATAATATGTTCCTGGAAGGAACGATCTGCATTGTTTGGTCCCGTAGGAACCCAGACGTAGTTGTGACAATGTGTCGTCGTACGTTTGATCTATTTTGTGTGCCTGTGTGCCGCCAGAGACAAGGGATGGCCCAATGAGGGCCTCTGCGACCAAGGATAACGGTAAATCTTTAGAAACGCAGAGGCCTTTGATGGAGCCGCCTGCGACCCTGGCTGACTTGACCAAGTCGTCTCCTCTCATCAGTTCATGAGCACCACTCTTAAGTGCATGAGCACCATCCAACACTAAAACAACTTCAAGAGTTCAACATCTGAGTGTTTAATAAAAAACCTTTATTTATTTTATTACGTCAACTGCATATCAAAGACAGCTGCGAATAAGGTAAGGTGCATGCGCATCAATATTCATATATTTATATGATTTTATATATTATATTGTATTTATTCAATTTTTTATAATTTAATAATTAATATTTTATTACTACGGTGTACTTGATCGTTCTCGAATCAAGACCTCGAGAACCCTCCGACGGTCAGGAGGAAGGTTATTACGCAAATTTAAAACAACAAGACATAAGTTAAGATAACTAAAAATAATTAATAACTTATAAATATATTTAAGGCATTCATTCAAGGCTTGTGTCCCTTGTGTTTGCCTTACAATTTATTCAGACCAATTCATCTCCCATAAATAAATAATAAATAATTACATTACTATATTAAATAATATTATATTATATTAATATTATTATCATTAATTTTATTTTCATCATCTCTCTTAACCTTTCTTTTTCTTTTCTTTTATTTATGCGTTATTACAATGTTTAAAAAAAATGTTGTATTTTTGTGAAAATAATAATACATATAATAATAAATAACTATATATAATTTGAGTATAAATATATTATTATGATAATTCAACGTTAGTTTTTTGATTTGCATAATAAATTAACAATACATATTATTATGTATTAAAAGAACGCCAAACACAATTTTTTTAGCGTTAGGTACTGTGCGATTATATAAATCGTGCTGCATATTATTGTGTATGTAATTATTATATATACCTATACATATACCTAATAAATTAACATTTATACATTTATTTACAATAAATCACACACACACAACGAGTATTATATTATGTACCCGTAGCCCGTAGGTATAGTATTATACTATTATTATGTTTTGTATGTATATTAATATACTATGTAGAAAAGTCTCGAGCTGGTTATATACTTCGTCAAAATCATGAACGGCTAACGCGTTTTAAATAATGAATTTTAATTTCATTGACAGTTATAGCCTAGTTGTGCATATCATACCTATAATATAGCCATAATCTAACGAACGAAAAAAATACAAAATAACGAAACCCTGTTGGCCGACTCCCATCGCCGCTGCCGCCGTCACGGATTCGCAATGTTTGTATATTATATATTATGTATAAACACTGACCACCGCCACCTTTACCTTCACGTCAACTCTCCCCTTCGCTCCTATTTACGTATAAGGTCCAACAAAAACTTCATTAATCAGTTTGCGTGTTAAGCCGATTTTCTTATTTGAATGAGAAAAATCGAAAAAACAAAACGAAACGAAAACGAAAACCTTTACACAAAAACATAATAATAATAATAATAATATTATTATGTACAATATTGTACATGCTCGCCACAGTTGACGTGAGGGGTACGCGAGCCAATAGTATTCGAAAAGTTTTTAAAAAAAATTTAATATTCGTATAATAATATACAATATATTATATAGTACTTAACGACGGTTCGCCCACACACGCCCACACACACACACACACACACACATGACACACA